TTTTTTTTTTTTTTTTTTTTTGTTTTTTTTACATTAAATTTTTATTAGTTAAAAAAATTCCTTTCAAACTTATTTTTTCTTATTTTTTTGGCTCAGCTTTTCTTTTTAAGGAGAAAATGCTCCAAAATAAATTGACTCGAATACTATTGAAGAGCACTCCAAAAAGTTTAAATATTCGAGAAAGAAATGTAAAAATCTATAACCGAGTGAGAGATTAGTTAAGTAGTGGTAAAATTGTTTCTTGTAGAATGAGAGTTTATCATTTTATTTTATTTTTTAATATAATACTTATATTTGTAAAATAATATACAAACTTAACACAACTTAGCAAAAAATAATATTGACAAATCACGTCAATCTCGTATCGTTATATTTTGAAAAAATTACACGGACACATCATGAAATAAATAAATAAATAAATAAACCTAAAACATAGCTAAAGAAATAATTGCGGACAAGACAAAAGTGATAGTTGAGAAAGAGTTAAGAAATAATAATTAAATTCTCAAACTGAACCAAACAAGACTGATCTTTGATGCAGTATTCAAGGTTATTCATTAAATAAAAACTATATTATAAATTTAATGATGTGGGGGAGATAAAAAAAGAAAGAATAACTAGGCAAAAAAATGTTATAAAAATGTATTATGAGTAATGTTATTCATAAACAAACTATTAACCTTGAACAACAATCCCAACCGTACAATAAGTTGATGATAATTAAAGGTTTCTAAACTTAGGTTCCTAATTTCGCTCCGATACATGTTTACTAGCAAATTAATGTTTTAAGTACAGACAAAAATCATCCTCCGAAAGAGATGTTATGAAGGGATAAAAGGGGGAAGTTATGAGGAGAATGACAGTGCGCCCAACAAATGGCACAGGAAAAATAGAAAAATGAGGGCAGAAAGAGAGGAAAGGTGTGGACAGTCTAAACTCTAAAATGAAAGACAACCAACGATGATAAGTTATGGTATATCCTTCTTGAGGGGTTTTAAAAAAATCAATCAAATTATGATCAAAGCTTGTATCATGCCTGCTCTGGTCCACTGGGGAGCTCCTCGTAACCATCGGGATGCGTAACCACGTAGTCGTAGCTACTCGATGGAACAGGAATGCACTTTAAGACAACAGCTACAACTAAACTTACCGCACCAATCAAGATGCATACTAACCACAACTTCCAGCTCAGTGGTACTGTTTGAGCAAAAGTACCCAGAAATTCAACTATTATGGTTTGAAAGCATATCGTTGCGGCCATGACCATCATAAAAACCCAGCTGCTGAACATGCCTTGGAAAACATTGATCTTCTCCATGTCACGGCTATTTATCTCGTTGAATACCTATTAATGAGACAACATTTGTTTTCAATGACAGAACAGAAGCCAAAGGATGCATGAACAAACTTGACCAAAACAATATTTAGTGACGAGGTCAAGCATATAAAGTACAATCGAGAGGAAAAGTGTGCACTACCACATAAATGGTTTCTTAACCACTCTATTAGTACTACTACACAAATTGAGACTCAGGTCAAGTAGAATATGAAAATCATAAAACAATTTTCTTGTGAGGAACGAATAGGCTTCAATAAAAATATATCAAGGTCTACAACGGGAGAATAAAAAAAATGCAAAAGTGGAAGTTAATTAACTTATCTAACCTGGCAAAATACAAAGGTGTTGAATATGACGGTATTCAGAACTATGGTGGCATCAGGTCCATTGAGCTTGAGAATCTGTTCACCACGAAATTTAAGAACTAAAAGGACAATAATTTGATAGATGCTCTGACCAATTATGTTCCTCCACATGATCCTGGTGATGAATTTGGCGTTCCTTCCAATAGGTGGTCTCTTCATCAGCCCATCATGAGGAGGTTCTGTAGCCAGTGCCAATGCGCCGAGAGTGTCCATGATCATGTTTACCCAAAGCATTTGAACAGCGGTAAGAGGAGCAGAACCTGAAATTGATTTCTGTTTTGATTAGTCATCTGAATTGAACAAAATATTTAGATGTGACTTGAAAAGATCGTCTTGAAAAGCTAGCTGAATATATTACCTGACACGCATGCGGAAACGAAATTCAGCATGAGAGCTACAACATTAACTGTTAACTGGAACTGGACAAACTTTTGTATATTAATATAAACAGCACGGCCCCATCTAGTAACATTGACTATGGTCGTGAAGTTATCATCCAATACAATCACATCCGCGTTCTCTTTAGCAACCTGGAGAATGGATGATAATAAAACTTAAACAAATGTAAAATATTAAAATCAGTTGATTAAGAAACACATGAAGTATGCCCATAAAATGATATAATCATCGTTTCCAGCTATATGAACCTAAAACTTCAGATAATCATTTACGCTTAAAAGTCTTGGCAGTGGGTTCGGTTATATTAATAACTTCATACAAAAACAACCTGTGGAATACCGTAGAAGAACGACAAATGAGGCCTATCAATTTGCTCAAAAATTTAGAGGAGTACCCTTTCCCTTACGATGTTCTATTAAAAAATGAAAGAGGACAATTAGTTTGTTACAGCGGTGGGAAGTGCCGAGGGTATGCAGGCTTCAAGTGACCAAAGCCACTGGAATCGGATGCTAAATGTGCTCTAGTTAATGGGTGGTCTAAAACCAACGTTCGTCACTTGTTTGAAGATACAAGCAAGCAAATATTGGCAATAATTTCAGATGAAACAATACGTGGTAAGTATCCGATGGAAGTCATCTAGGAAATATATAGAACGTGCTAGTAGTAACAAACCTCTGTCCCTGCAATACCCATAGCAAGTCCAATATCAGCCTCATGCAACGCTGGAGCGTCGTTGGTCCCGTCACCAGTAACTGCCACAACCTCATTAAAGACATTCCTCAAATGGGTCACTAAGGTGTGTTTGTCAAGAGGCAAGGATCGGGCCATTACCTACACACATCAAGAAACCAATTTATAAATGTACCATCCTTGCTAAACATCAAACGGAGTATCCAGGGGGAACAGTAATTAAAGACCTGTATTTTTGGTATTATATCCTCCATTTCTTGCGGGCTCTTGTTCCGGAAATCTGGTCCCTCTATCGCGATTCCATCTGTCAGTATGCCGCATTCTCTAGCTATTGCTTTAGCAGTATTTATGTTGTCACCAGTTACCATTCTAACGATGATGCCAGCTTCTAAACAAGTCTTAACAGCTTCTTTTACTCCAGGCCTCACTGGATCCTTGATCCCAACAATACCTATTAACGTGTACTTATCCTCAGGAATACTATCACTTTCAGAAAATTCTTCAATATCCTTGAAGGCAATGCAGAGTGTTCTAAGAGCTTCAGAAGCAAAACCATTGATAACTTCTGTGATGCCATTCCTTTGTTGTTCGTTCAAGAGGATGACCTTGCCGTCTTCATTAACAACTTTGTCACACAGTTCCAAAACTATTTCTGATGCCCCTTTACAAAATGCTCGGAACTTGTTGGTTCCATCGGGAATAGCCACCAGCACCGACATCTTTTTTCTGACTGAATTGAAAGGTTCAACCTTTACTATTTTATACTTCTCGTTATATAACTTGGAATCACCTCCCAAAAGCAAGCCAAATTCCAGCAACGCGGATTCTGTGGGAGTACCCATGATCTTGGTCTTTCCATCTTGACCTTTGACTATCTCCGACCCAGTATTCTGGAATATGGATTGCAAAAGGAGATCAAATATCTGTTCAGAAATTGAGGACTTCAACACATTTTCCTTGTTGCCGCTTTTAATGGCCTTAGTTTGTCCGCTAATCCATATTTTGTCTACAACCATGTGATTCGTTGTTAAAGTGCCCGTTTTATCGGTGCAAATACAACCAGCTGAACCCATTGTCTCACATGCGGAGAGGTGCCTGACTAGTGCCTTGTCCTCCATCAATTTCTTCATTGCAAATGCAAGGCTTAGTGTCACTGCCAAAGGAAGCCCCTCGGGAACTGCCACAACTATTATAATGACAGCAGTAGCAAAGAAATTGAGAAGTTTAGATGCATCATCTAAGGACCATTTTGTTATTTCATGGTGAGCTATTTTCCCCAGCAAAAACCTGCCCGTCAGAACCACGAATGTCAGCAGGGCAAAACCCAAGCCTATCTTTCCAATAATGGTGGCAACTCCATTTAGTTTGACCTGAAGAGGCGTCTCATCATCTCCCCCTTCGGAAAGAGTATACATTAATCTTCCCCATTCAGTCCTCATACCAACGGAGATCACCAGCATCTTAGCAGACCCATCTTGCACCGTAGTTCCGGATAGAAGAAAAGGCTTCTGTTGATTAACATTCACAGCTTCACTCTCACCTGATAGACTCGATTCATCTATTAATAAGCCGAAACCTGATATGAATAACCCATCTGCAGGAACTATGTCTCCAATTGATAGATGTACTATGTCTCCTACCACTATATCATGAATCGAAACCTTTTGTCTTCTACTGTCTCTTGTAACTTGAATGCCGATATTTTTCTTTTCTTTATCCAAATCCTTAAATTGCAAGGACTGTCTATAGTCACTGATTGATGTGACAAAGACCACTAACATGATACATAGTATGATTCCCACTCCATCGTACATACCTTTTGGCCAACCTTCAGTTAAGATTCCAACACCTACTGAAACAAAAGCACATACCATAAGGATAATTAGAGTTAAGTCCTGCATTGCATCCCAAACGAACATCCAAAAGCTTCTAGAGGGCTTCTCGGCATGGCGGTTAAAACCAAAGATTTTTTGTCTATGCTCAACGTCTAGTGAACTAACACCCTCATGCAATGACACACGAACATCTCTTGCAACTCCTTCAACTCCTTCATAGTGTTCTAAACATTTGAGGTCATGGGATCGAACAATATTGGCTAATCCTTCGGGATCAATTCGGAAGCCTGCTTCCTGTATCTGTTTGGCGAGCATGTAATCAGCACCTTGGCTCCCAGCTGTATGAGAAGGAAAAGAAAAAAATGTAACAAAACAACGAGTGAAAAACCAAAATGGTGAATGAAAGCGATAAGTGTGTATACCGTTAATAAAATGCAACGCTGCTTTTTGCACATAGAGAGCCACCCGTATCTTCTCCTGGTCAAGATAGTTAGAGGCTTAGAGCATATGCAAAGTGTGTTAAGGCGACAAATAATAAATGCATGTCATTCCGTTTATAAGGTTATATATGTAAGCTCGTGAACATTCTATCGTGCATGTGTTTCTTGCTTTCCAACTAACTGAAATTTATGGCACTTTTCACTTGAATAATCATTTTCGTAGTGCCAGAGTTAAATATTTTAGTTCCTTAGCTAAACAGAAAGTACACTATAGCACATAAAATTTACTCGCACCAATAAAAGAAGAGATATGTGAGTTTGGGACACTAAATAACTTCGAATTGATAATCTCTCTTCTCTTTCAAATATTACTCTAGAAAAAAAAATGGTAATTTTATGAACAAATTTTCCGTGTAAAAAAATCCTTTAAAATAGATGTATGAAGTGAAGGAAAACACACACACATATATATATATATATATATATATATATATATATATATATATATATATATTACACAACCACACATAAAAACAAA